GCAAAACAACACGACGTTTAATGATACAAGATACCGCGCAATCAAAAATACGTAGTTTTATAAGTACAATTATTATTACTCAAGTGGGAAGTTAGTGTGATGTTTGGCGCTGAATTTCATCGGCCAGTTTTTCAAATTTGGGTGTGTACGATGATGTCGCCGCTCGGAAACAATCGTCAAGATGGGCGTCAGTAAGTCGAGATCTGTGCTTTGATTTTATGAGGTTCGTGGTTGAACGGCGTTCATTATTCAGTATAACCTCTTTACGTAACAACGCGGGCACCCAGAAAAAGCTTTGGCGAAAGTCACACGTGTCCAAACTTTCGGAAATAATACGTAACAGATAACGAAAGCTTCTGTGTGATTCACGACTGTTCGAACACCAATATGACGTCATCCTGATGATCCTCTGAGAAACTGGTGAATACCTACGAGACAACGTTGGCATAACATCCCAGACGACGGCCATCTTCAGAAGCTGATACAAGACTTTCAGATATACTTTACTGGATAAAACCGCGAGATGAATAATGGGTTACGTACCTTGCACGAGGTCCGTCTTGTCCTTGGGCTGACCAGGCAGGTAGTGGGCAGGGACGACGTCACTGAACTCCGTGATGGGGCAGAGGGCGAAACAGCCCCTAGAGGGTATATTGCTCTGCAAGCATTGGTCTGCCATCAGACAAAGAGTGACGCCGTGTCCACTCCACAAGGCCGAGTGAAATGAACGTCTTCCGACCGTAGCAGAACCGGAGTCGTCCGGGATCGTAAAATCCACCCAGCGCAGATTTGCCGCAGTTTTCAGACAACGCAGAGCTGGCGGTACAACCGAACCGACATTCACCTACAGAATAAATCGGAAAGAGATGAGAATACGACAGAATTATATATTTTTAATTAATTAAATTTCAAAATTGTTAATAATTAATTATTTAACTATTATTTAGTTATCTGTTAATGATTCTGTATCAGTTACAGGTCATGTGAAATCAATCGAGATGAGAGCACAATTACGAACAGTTAACTACCGCCGCCATCTTGTTTCAACGTAAACTCCTGGTATTCAAGAGTAGAAGACCCTTTCGTGTATAAATCTTTCCTGAAGAAGGAAGTTTAAATAATCGATAATAATAATCCGTAATATCGGAATTTAAATCCTTATTTCCGTGCAACGGGAGGTTACGAGCCGGTTACCTGTTCAAGAACCTGTGCCAAAGCTTCGTGATTGGCTACGATAACCGCTCCGTAGTTATCTTCCAAATTCTTATGGACCACGCTTCGTCCTTTTCTTAAACGCAACCTGTGCGTCTTCCAGGGATGTCCAGAAACAGGGGACCATTCCGAGTCATCGTCCCCGGTCTAGAAAATATTGGAAACTTCAAAAAAATAACAACACAATCAGATTTTAGATACAAAAAGGGTATTTAAAAAAGTTGTCAGTGGAACGACGGTTCCGGAGAATTTGACGTAAATACGTCTATACGGAAAGGAAGTTTCTATATTGGCATTAATTTAAATATTTCCTTTATAAATGCTTTACATTTGAGTTAAGTTTGATTAAGACATTGCTTAATCAACTTGAATTAGTTACGCTTAAGATGGGTCTGTGGTAGATGAATGTAATTTAAAGTAATGTAATGTAATGTTTTATAGGTAACAACAATGCCGAGTAAACAGATGAAGTTTCCTAGGTAACCATTGTTGTCGATTTGTTGATAAACAGATGAAGTTTCCTAGGTAACCATTGTTGTCGATTTGTTGATAAACAGATGAAGTTTCCTAGGTAACAATAATGCTGAGTAAACAATTGACATTTCCAAGGTAACATAAGAATGCAGTTACACTTTTTCGTTCCACTTTTTGCCGAATGACACTGACCCTAAAATATAGACGTATTTACGTCAAAAAAGGTACAATCCAATGGAACATTACGTAATTATTAAAGCGTTTACATTAAAAAAAACTTAATAAAATACAAACATTTTTTTAAGATGTGTTCGATGCACTTTTGTGCACGTAACTGAATTCAGCGTTCATTTGGATGAAAGTATAAATCTTGTTATTTCAAACATAACCTCACTTCAGATAAGACACGGGATAAACAAAACAAAAAAACTCATGTCATTTACAAATTATTTTGCCATGAACCACGTTTCACAGATAAATTTGATCTTTATGAGAAGTATTTCTTATATTACCATAACATACACGAAATGTAAATTTTCCGGACAATCTGATTTCCCCCCCCCCCCACCTCACCATTTCCTTAATTACAAAGTGCGATGAACAGAAAAATCCCAGCCTTAAGTTTCTGCACCGAATGGAAGAGGGGAATTGAGGAGGCCATGGACCAAATAGAGACCGGAGAGCCATGGAAGAAGAAGAACAAGAATGATATAAATATATGACTAACAGAAATAATGGGCATCGTAAACCGAGAGACCGCCGTATGCACAATGTAACTCACATCTTCGCTGCTATGGAAGCTGTAAGGAGCGTAGATTTCTGACTCTGTCTCGCTGCCACAGTAAGGGAGGGAAGTGGAACGCGTAAAGCTGCCCCGGAACTTGACGTAGTCCGGAGATGCGTCCACGCTGCCTTCTGACCGGCGCTGCTGGACGCCGTTACACCGAATCGCTTTCGCCGCGTTTGCCTCCACAGTCTCACCATCACTCGACGGTGACAGGCACTCGTACACATTCTCCGTAACCTTAAAAATTACGCCGTATTGTAAAGGATAATTATAATAACGCGATCTAACATGTACACTGCCGCCTTGTTTTAGGAAAAGGCTGAATTTTGTGCAAGTTGCTCATTTAAGAAAAAAATTTGTCGTGCAGAACTGAATTTCGTATTAAGTAACGAGAAATAATTAAAAGATATTCCGACTTGTATTCTTTTCGTATTTTGTTATAAAACAATTTTATGATACAGAATACAACAGAAATAATAATTTTGCAAATGCATTAACATTTAATTCGTAAAATAGAATTCTAGGGGTCGCCACATTAATATCCATTAACATGTGTTAATTTTTTAAATTTATTTATTTATTTAGTGTTCTGTCTGACGACAGGTCCATATGAACAGGATCCTTCCATCCTTTTCTCGGACTGGGACCTGTTCATATACGTTCTTGGCAGATGATCCAGAAGTGGTTTGCCATTGCCTTCTGCTGTGTGTGAATGGATTGTTGGGATGCCACGGAGGAAAACTCCGTGTTGCCTAGACCACGGCCTTGCCCAACACAAGTTATAAATTCGGGCACCTTTTAAATTTAGAACACAAAAAAAGATAAAATACGAATTGAAGAAATTGTTCAACTGGAATGAATGAGATAATTTATGTTGACTAAATGATAATTATGGAGGACTCGGTGATAAATGACGTACAAGAAAGGGTAGGGGAAACGCAGATATAAGAACAGCGCTTACAGGAGAGGAGAAGAACTGCTTTTGTCATTCCACCCTGAACAAAAACATCAACGGATAATTACGACCTCGTGATAGGCTTATTCCTCACCGACACGTGCTTCCCGTTATTGAGTTCGACAGACTCGTAGCCACTGTCATCAGTCTGGGGTTCGACCTTCCTCTTGGGTCCTTCCGTGTTCGCATCCCTGATACTGGAAGTGCGTTGCGGTTTACTTGGAGTCAGACCGGATCGGACCTCACCTGAAATGAGGCCTGTCGCTGGCAAATCAGAAACATTCCGTAATCTGTTAAAATTATTATTTTTCCAGCCTTCCTCACAGAACATGACGTCATTTTAGTTCAGTTAAGACTCACATTTTAGGATAAAAAACTGATTAATGTTACAAAGTGCGGATGTCTTCGCTACTTAACTAAGATGCTGGGAATTGGAGCTCCATGCATTCTTAATCTCAGTATTAAAAGGAGGTGAGTGGTTAGTTTCAAACCCCCATGCTCTTTAACTCAGAGGAAAGAAAATTTAGTTTTCAGGGGACAGGTTGGGGTCTAGGCGTTATGGCGAAGATCGAAATCCCGACCTCCGAGGAATCAAACTCTGGACATCCAGCGCTAGTTAGCGCACAGCCGAAGCTCGACACACAATTAATAAGACACCAGACTAATTAAATACACGGCCGCTATCTCAGGAATTATTTTCATTGGGTCGACAGATAAAAATTATGAAAGGAATAAAACGTAAATGCAGAGAAAAAGAACCATTTGCATGTGGGAACTTAACCCTTCGAAGACGAAGATCGTCTGAATATTATTTATGAATTCAGTCCGTACCGCGAAGAAAACACTACACCTCACCATTACGAAAATCAGCTGGTTAACCCTTTGAAGCCGAAGCTCGTCTTCATAATATTTACGAATCCAGACCGTACCGCGAAGAAAACACTTCACTTAACCATTAGAAGTCGAATCAGGCGGTACCACATAAGATTTAACAAGAGAACATCCCGGTCAAAGCCTTAAGAAAACCACAAAATACCACAGGTAAGATATTCCGTCCTTACCCAAGATTCAAACCACCGCGGTGGTAAATCCTGTACCCACCTAAATTGGCGTACAAGTTGTTGACAGGAAGAATCTGCTGTATCCGTCTCGTCGGCTGTTTCTGCTGCCACAGCAGCTCTGCAGATTTTGGAGGTGGTGGCCTCGCTGGTTTGTTCAACCCTTCTATCGCTTTACCCCAAGCATCTAGCGACTGGTTACGAGGGGGAGGCGGTGGTTTTGCGGGCCTTACTGTGGCGAACACAGACGAGTGAACAAGGAGATGTTAGAGAAGTAGCAAGTTGAATATATCTGTTTAAGTTACCGTAAAATAAATGACAAGTGTATATAATATATTTTTTTTGTGGGCTGTATAATTTAAATTCTGCATGACGGAATCCCTCCTTTTATATATTTATAAACAACCACAATAGGATTCAAAATAAAAAGTTGTCAGTGGAACGACGGTTCCGGAGAATTTGACGTAAATACGTCTATACGGAAAGGAAGTTTATATTTTGGCTTTATTCTAAATATTTCCTTTATACATGCTTTACAATTGCGTAAAGTTTGATTAAGACTTTGCTTATTTAACTTGAATTAGTCACGCTTAAGATGGGTCTGTGGTAGATGAATGTAATTTAAAGTAATGTAATGTAATGTTTCATAGGTAACAACAATGCCGAGTAAATAGATGTTCCTTAGGTAACCATTGTTGTTTATTTGTTGATAAACCATTGTTACACTTTTTAGTTTCCCTTTTTCGTAACACATTTTTGCCGAATGACACTGACCCTAAAATATAGACGTATTTACGTCAAAAAGATTTTCTTTAGTTTGCTCTATTTTCAGACGTAGCCGACTAATTACTAGTTCAGATGACAGTCTGCGGACCGCTCTTTGTGAAATGATGTTCTATATAACGTTCAAGAGTTTCTGCTACCAAATTGCATTATCGTGACGTTTACCTGACAAAACCTGGTTTGAATTGTTCGCCGACTGTGAATTTCCAGGGTCAGATGAAATATAACTCTCCTGAAAGAATAAACAAAACCTTAAATAATAAATGTTACACAGTACGTAAACATTAAAATCAAACCAAAAGGTAACTGAGGTTCATAACAAAATTTCTGATATAAATTATGAATTTAAGAAGAAGATGGGGGGGGGGGGGGGGGGGGGGGGGGTAAGAACTTCAGAATAACGATAATTCTTACCTTGTTATTGTCACAGGAGCTGGAAGCCTCAGTGACTGAGTCGTCTAAGCGAGGCCTCACATTGCTGGCATCTCCTCGCAGAACCTCCACATTGGAGCCATTCAGCTCCGACGGATGGATTATCTCCAGTCGTGGACGAGGCGTGGGCAAGTTGGGTACCACATCCTCCTGCTTCTGAACTTCAACGCTGCTCACAGTCTTATCTTCTTTACAGCCACCAAAGCGTAGGAACTTCCTGAGCGAGAAGCGTCCACGGCCATGTGACGATTTCTTCTTCTCTTGTTCGGTGGGAGTGGCAGAGGGAGATGCAAACG